AGTGTTAAGTCAAGAAGGTCGACCCATTGCCTTCTTCAGTGAAAAGTTGAATGACACAAAGCTCAGATATTCCACCTATGACAAAGAATTCTATGCAATTGTTCGAGCCTTGGAGCATTGGAGTCATTATCTTCTTTCCAAAGAATTCATCTTGCACTATGACCATGAGGCATTGAAGCACCTGAATTCTCAACAGAAGATTAGTCGCCGACATGCTGCTTGGAGTGAATTTCTACAAGCTTATCCTTTCCTCCTCAAATACAAATCTGGGGTCCAGAATCGTGTAGCTGATGCTCTGAGTCGCCGACATGCCTTGCTTACTTCCTTACAAATGAAAGTCACTGGATTTGAAGTGATCAAGGAGTTGTATGAGAATGATCCTGATTTTAGCAAGATTTGGCAAGCCACTTCTAATCAAGCCTTTCAGCAATATCATTGCCAACAAGATTACCTCTTCAAGGGTAACTGACTATGTGTTCCACGTTGCTCACTCCGAGATTCAATTATCTGGGAAGCACATAATGGTGGATTAACTGGTCATTTTGGGAGAGACAAGACTTTAGCTCTTGTTAAAGAAAGTTTTTACCAGTCAAAGTTGGAACAGAATGTCATTCGTCACATTCAAAGATGCAAAGTTTGTCACCAAGCCAAGACAATCAATCAAAACACAGGGTTGTATCTGCCATTGCCTATCCGAACTTCACCTTGGGAAGATGTTAGTATGGATTTTGTCCTTGGTCTACCACGAACTCAATGAAGCAAGGATTCTATCATAGTCGTGGTTGATAGATTTTCTAAAATGGCTCACTTTATTGCTTGTCAGAAAACTAATGATGCTTCTCTCATTGCTGAGTTATATTTTAGAGAGATTGTGCGTCTACATGGAGTTCCAAAGACCATCACTTCAGATAGAGATTTGAAGTTCATGAGTCATTTTTGGAGGACTTTATGGAGAAAGATGGGCACTCAACTCCAATTTAGTTCTGCTAGCCATCCCCAAACCGATGGGCAAATTGAAGCTATCAATAAGATTTTGGGGAATCTACTACAAAGTTTTGTGGGACAAAATTTGCGACAATGGGATCTTGTGCTTGCCCAAGCTAAGTTTGCCTACAACAACTCTTCGAATCAAGCTACGGGAAAATGCCCATTTGAAGTAGTATATGGATTGCGTCCTCTCAGTCCTTTAGATCTTGCTCCATTGCCCACATCCCGACAGTTTAGTGCAGATGCTGAACAACGAGCCAAGGAGATCAAGAAACTTCATGAAGAAGTTCGTGAGAAGCTACAACGTCAAACCATTAGGTATAAGGCTCATCATGACAAGCACCGAAAGAAGGTTGTGTATAAAGAAGGAGATTGGGTTTGGATACACCTTCGAAAGGAAAGGTTTCCTAATCGACCTAATGTCAAACTCTCCCCTAGAGCAGATGGTCCTTTTCAGATAGTGGAGAAAATCAATGATAATGCCTACAAGATCAAACTTCCAAGTGACTATGAAGTCTTTGCTACTTTCAATGTAGCTGACTTATCTCCTTACTATGAGGATCATGAGCATTGAACTCAAACTTGAGGACGAGTTTTCTCCAACCAGGGGAGAATGCACCAGGAAAAAAACAACAAGCATGCAGAACCTACTCTGCAGCACCACTAGGCCGGTGCAATTTTGTCAAAGTGGCCACTAAATGGCTAACTCCCAACTGCATTTTTACTTTTACTAAATGGCTAACTCCCAACTGCATTTTCACTTTTCATTTATTGCCTTATATTAGATTTTGCCTTTAAATAGCTATGTTCCCTTCATTGTAGGCAGAAGTTTTAATCCAAATTTTCAGTTTATAATTCTCCTCTGTTGAGTGAGTTTTTTTGGGAGTAGATTATCTCAATTTATCTCTATCTTAGGTCTTGCCAACCTAAGTGGTGAAGCTGGCAATCGAATTCATCGTAGTGGAATTCTCAATCTCGTCAAAATCGATGTTTTGGTATCGGCTCCTAAGCCATTAAAGTTTATTTTTGAAGATGACAATTTTTTCTAAATATCTTCAAAATTTTACATTTATACTTAATTGTCATTTTTTGCCATACTAAATATTTAAACTC